GGAGAATTCACACAATGAAATTAGGAACACAAGGTGAAATTTTTCACAATACACATTTTAAAACTCGATGGCATTGTCGGTTCTTAATGATGAAATCACAGGATATGCAGAAATATTTTTCAGACCATCATGTATTTTACTGCTAAACTACATACCGCATCTTAAATGGGAAGAATATTTTACTGAGGTTAGATTGACTGTATACATTCCAGTGGTAGTTTAAGACTGCAATTCATGAGATCAAATCATTGTTCTGCATAATCTATTTGAAAATTTTGGACTATAACTTTGGGTTCATTCACATTCCAACTTTATGTGGCATGAAGCATCTTGTCTTTCTGCTGACACTGCATTCTATTATGGTCTCATTATAATGACGACTCTGGAAGGAGGACTCTCTGGAGGGGATTGTACTTCAACACTAGCATCAATGCTGAGTAGCTTGCACTGACAACATTGTTAAACTTAACAAGATCACAATTCAATTTTAATATACAAGTCTTTTACCCTTCTTCTTATAGTATAATTTCCAATTCAAATGAGGGCTCAAATTTTAGTAATAAATTATGATTCATCACAAAGCAATATAAACGAACATGTCACTATTGTTTGACACAGATCAATAAAAACATCAAAGGTTTATGGCATAGTTGGTTGCCATTTGGTCCATTATGTTTATGATAGTGAAAAAAAAATCATCTTAATCTCATTTCTCTCAATCTGTAGCTCTATGGGTTATGTCACCTCACAGTGCATATTACACACTTTTTAAAATTGTGCTGAGAAATTGTGCTCAACCATCCTTTCAACCATGTGAGAAAATTGTTTCTTCTCAACTCCGCTCTCATTCTTCTACCAATTACTTAAAATCTATTACCAAGGTTATTGATCTCTGCTAAAAAGAATAGGTCCCGCTATCTAGGCTGTGCATAATTTGGTTACTTCAATTAAATCTTTCATCTGTATTTTCTATTCTAAACAAAAACAATCGTAACCAATCCCTTCAGAGTTAAATTTCTCCATTCCTGGCAGCAGCTTCAAAAATCTCTTTACCTTCTATGCGCTCACCCTCTTCCATTAATTGTGTCCAGAACGATACAGAAGGCTCTTGCTGTGAACACATCCCTGCTTTTACACTAAAAGCCTTGGTGAAACAAGAAAAGGATCCCATACGCTTTCTTTCCCACTTTATTTATCCATCATGTTACCTTCAGGGATCTGTAGACATACACACCCAGCTCCCTTTTGTTCCTGCACACTTTTCATGACCTACCATTTATTGTGTATTCGCTTGCATTGCTTGTCCTCCCTAAATGTTCTCCTGGTTCTCTAGATTGAATTCAATCTGCCACTTAGCTGCCTGCCCAACCAGTCCATTGATATCTCCCTACAATTGGCACAGCTTTCTTCTTTGCTATCAACCACATGCCAATTTTCGTATCATGTACAAAGTTTCCAAAGTTCCCTTTTTTCAAGTCTAAATCATTATTATGCACAACAAACAAGAAGTAAGTCAATGCAGAGCCCTAAAAAACCTCACTGGAAACAGTTTTTCAGTCACAAAAACAACTACTAACCATAACCATTTGATCTTCACAGAAACCAATATTGGATCAGATTTGCTGCCATCCTTTGGATCCCAAGAGTTTCTCAGTTATTGATCAGCCTATCATGTGACATCTTGTCAAAAGCTATGCTAAAATCCCTGCAGCCTATTTCTAATGTGCTTTGCTCATCCACCCTTCTTGTTGCCCCCTCAACCAATTTAATCAGGTTAGTCAGGCATTACCCATCCATAACAAATCCAAAACTGTAAGATGTAAGACCAGACATAAGTCCATTGAGTCTGCTCCATCAATCAGTGAGATCATGGCTGATCTCATGGCTAATTATCAACTCCACTCCCTGCCTTTTCCCTATAACTGCTGATTCTTTTAGTGAATAACAATCTATCACAGCCTTGGATATACTTAATGATTCAGCCTCGACAGCCCTCTGTAGTAAAGAATTCCACACATTCACAACCCTCTGACAGAAGAAATTCCTCCTCATCTCTGTCCAAAATTTGTGACCTCTTACTCTGAGATTATGCCCTCTGATCCTAGTCTCTCCCACAGGGGGAAAACCACATTTCTGCATCAGCCCTGTCAGGTCTCCTACATGTCTTGCATGTTTCAATAAGGCTGCATCTCATTCTTCTAAATTCCAATGAATGGGTTCCTCCTGATTAATTGCTGTTTCTCTCAATTACAATTTTGCCTTATCTCAGAAAGGTTCCAATAATTTTCCAAGGTTAACAGAGGTTAGTGCCAGTAATTAGAAGGATAATTTCTCCTGGTTTTTGAGCAATTTTCCAGGTCGTAGAGTAGGTGCAGCTGACCTAGAACAGCTTGGCTAGGGCAGGCTAGTTCTGAAGCAAAAGTCTTCAGCACTCATGCTGAAATATTACTGGACCCATGGCATTTGTTGTATCCAATGTGTTCAACCTTTCTTGATAACACATGGACTGAGTCAAATCTGCTGCTGATGCTTATTAATGCTTCAACTTTATACTTTGCACTCAAATGCTGGACTCCACCATCATTGAGAATGGGAATGTTTATGCAGCCTCCTCCTTCAACAGAGAAATGGTACAGGGCTTTGGGGAGAGGTGTGGAATGGGATTAATTGGATAATGCTGCCAAAAAACAAGCCCATTTAAAAGGCCTGAAGGCCCTTACCATCTGTTCACAGAATTTCCAATGTAATTGAGACCTAAGATCCTAATGATACTTTATGATGGATCATGAAGCAATGTTGATGAAATTTTACATGTGAATTCCAACATGCTAGCTTTGAAAAATATTGTTTTCATTAAATCATGAAACAAGTTTTGTACATAGAAAACGTTACAGAAATATTTTGCATCATAACAATCAAATATAACAGGAAAAAGAAGCTGCCAAACTGGATGAATAAAACAGTCTACATTTGTGAAAAAGCGTATAGACAGAATTCATACCGCAAAGCATATTTTATCAATTATTTTGAATTATTAATAATTCTACATTCACATAAAACACTTTGATTTAGATGTTGATTATACATTCAGACAGAAGAGGTGTATTTAGCCATTGATTGCATCACCATGAATTTGGACCTTTTTTAAATCCTTCACGCTCTCAGAAGTAATGATGACCCCTGCATGCAACCAATTTGCAAACTGACTTAATTCATATCACTAATTTAGTATGTACTGTTAAAATTAACCTAACTTGTTTTATAATACCGTAAACCAGTCTTAAATGTTATGCTTTGTAGCTCAAAACAGCTTTTGTTTAATCAGGTTCCACCAGTCAAATAAATCAAGATGCAAAATTGTTTACCTGAACAATAATTTTTATTCTGTTAAATTTAAAAAAAACAAAACCTGTTTACAAAATGCAAATACAGCTTTTGCAGCATCAGAAATTAATTTAAATCAAGAAATTCTAAATAATGTCAATAAGGTGTTCACAGGTAAAGTGATATTATTGATCAAACCTGAAAATACATCATACAAAATACAGTAAGTTATCATTTAACAGTGTGGCTCCATTCCTGAAAATCACCTCTTCAAGTGAAATGACTTTAAGTGAATAATAGGTTCCCAGAATAATCAACAGTGATGCTGGAGTTTGATTCCTTTGGACATTTTTTGCCGGAAAAACCAAAGTACAAATTAAAACCTTCACATGCGGCATTGCACATTCCCCACTGAAATAATGCGGGAAATAAGATCCATGAATAAAGAAATATATAATTAAAAAATGCTCTCACCTTATAGTACTTCTATCTGCTGGCAGAGATTGGTCAGTGCAGTTATCAGCTGAAGTTCCAGGACTTCCTGCGCTACCAATGTCTGCCACTGGTGGAGCCCAGAAGGTCATTACAAGTTCAGGATGGGTGCAGACAGCTTCCAAGAGGAACTGACAACAGGGGTTAAAGAGAAGACCACGAGATCAGGAGGCAAACCCCCAGGCTGGGAGTTAGAAATGCTACAAAGCAAAGGAGGAAAGGGTGGAGACAGAGGGTGGGAAGTTGGTGATGGGGGGCATGGTGGTGCTAACAGACAAAGTCCAGATGCCTGGGGTGGGGTAGGTCTCAGAGGCAGTTCCAGAGAGGATCTGAAACTTGGGGATTTTGGGGTGGGGGTGTGGCACGCAGGATGAGGATAGTTGAGGCCCTACTGTATGAGGTCAGAAAGCAAGGCTGGAGGGAGACAGTGCCAATCTGATGGTTAATTTATTTCACTTTCTTTTTCTACATTTTTATATGATATCTCAAAGTGATGTTTCAGTTGGTCACTGTACATAGACTGTGAGTGAAGGGTGAGAAGGGGAGAGCTGGGGACAGATAGAAAACAGACATGGCGAAAGCCAAGGACGAAGATAGAGATCCTGAGATATAAGAAGAGTTTGGAAAAAACATAAGAGCAGGAGCAATCTGTTGGAGCGAGAGGTGAAATGTTGACCTGAAAGTCACGAGAAGGCTGCATAAATGGCCTGCTGTATCACTCTTGATCATTTTACACAAATAAATTCAAAATAAACTTGCCAAGTGTGGGAAAATAAAATGTAAGTAAGGCGTATAACAATGAAATAATGAAAATTGAATTGGAACAAATTGAAAAATAAATAAGGAACTAGCTTGAGATCAGTAAATGGTCTGGGGGTGAGAAGATGTAGAAGCAGCTGAAGTGAATCTAGATTCCATATACTCACATTAAAACAAAGCTGCTAACGTGCAAGTCTTACATTGCAGTTCTCGAGGAACTGTGTCGCTGATACTTTCAAATCCAGAAACTGATCTGCAGACTTCATCATCTCAAAAGCACAAATTCAATGTTTTATGCTTAAATACTCAAAACAATATGAACTTGTATCAGGTTCACCTTCCCTGGAGGAAGAATGAGTTTTTGTTTTATTACAGGAAACTCCATGTGCACAGAATGCAAGTGGGGAGAATTGAAAAGCAAAATTTCAACCTGTTTTTGGTGCATTCTGAAGTCCTGGTGGTCTCACCACAGTCCACTTGAGGTCTTGGCATTCATTGTTCAGATAATTCTCCATCTCCTGCATATTGATCAGTAGTTTGCGGATCAAAGGGATCAACAACCACCGAATTGTCCAGGAAGCCTCCTTGCAGCATCAGCTTGAAAATAAATACAATGTTTTAATACCAGAAGGACTGTAATTAGCTGTCAATTTTATTATACATGTTTGCATGTTCCAATATTGCTGCAAATTCTGTCTATAATATGTATAGTCACAGCACTAGTCATTACAAAAATGTACTTGTTAAAAAATTCATTCACAGGATGTAGTTGCACTTGAGAAGGTGATGACGAGTTGCCTTCTTGAACCACTACAGTCCATGTGCAAACGGAAGACCCACAATTCTGTTAAGGAGGAAATTCCAGAATTTTGACCCAATGGCACTAAAGTAACTGCAAAAAAATTCCTAGTCAGGTAGGTGGGTGGCTTGGAGGGGAACATGCAGGTGCTGGTATTCCCATCTGTCCTTATCCTTCTGGATGGTAGTGGTCTTGTGTTTGGAAGGTTCAGTCCAAGAAGCTTTGGTGAATTCCTACAGTGCAATTTGTTAATGATACCCATTGCTAGTACTGAGCTCAGTGAAGCGGTGTTGAAAGGCACCACATTTACGAACAAACAAATGGGCTTCTCCATGCTGGATGGTGTCAACCTTCTTGTATGTTGTTGGAGCTGAACTCATCCATGCAAATGGAAGTATTCCATCACACTCCTGACTAGTGCCTTGTTAATGGTGGACAGGCTGACAGAGTTAGGAGGTGAGTTACTCACTGCAGGATGCCCAGTCTCTGACCAGCTCTCTTGCCCACTATGTTTATACAGTTTGTGCAGTTCAATTTCTGGTCATTAGTATCCCCATTATGTTGACAGTAGGAGATTCAAGCATCAGTGAATATCAAAGGGCAGTGGTTACATTGTCTCCTTTTGGAAATGGTCATTGTCTAGCTTTTGTATGTGTGTGCTGTGAATTGTGAATATTATTTGCCTCTTTTCAGCCTGGGTATTCCCCAGGTCTTGCTGCATTTGATATGAACTGCTTCAGTACCTGAGGACGGGTAAATGGTGATGAGCATTGAGAAATCACCAGGACACATCCCATTTCTGACCTTATAATGGATGGAAGATCATTAATCAGGCAGCTGAAATTGGTTCAGCCTAGGACACTACCCTGAGGAACTAGAGCTTTTGTTGCATAGTGGTAGCATCCTTACTGCTGACCCAGGAGGCCTGGGTTCAAGTCTCAGCTGCTCCAGATCTGTATAATGATACCTTTGGTCCGGTTGATTAGAAAATATCTACCCTGAGGAACTCCTCTGGGCCAGAAGGTCTGGGTTCAAGTCTCACCTGCTCCAGGGAAGTGCAATAACATCTCCGAACAGGTTGATTAAAGATATCTACCCCAAGGAACTGAGCTGTTGTGGTGATACAGTCCCTACCTCTGGGCCAGAATGCCTAGGTTCAAGTCCTACCTGCTTGAGAGATGTGTCATAGTATGTCTGAGCAAGTTGCTTAAAAATATCTACCCTGAGGAACTACTGCAGTAATGTTCTGGAGCTGTTTACTTCCATCAACCACAATTATCTTACATTGCGCTAAGTGTGACTACAACCAACACAGAGCTATCCCCTTAATTACCATTGACTCCAGTTTTGCTAAGAATTCTTGATACCACACTTGGTCAAATACAGCCTTGATGTCAATCTCTGGTGGTCCGTTCTTTTGCCCATGTTTGAAACAAGGCCATAATGAGGTCAGGAGCAGAATATACATGGCAGAACCCAAATTGAGCATCAGTGTTGCTAAGCAAATGTCACTTAAAAGCACTGTTGGCAAGCATTCCATCACTTTGCTGATGACTGAGATGATGATTGGGACTGCCAAATCTATTAAGAAACTGCCAAAGCTGAGAAGAAGCCATCAAAAAAAAAGGAAAGTTTAGAAAGGGCAGAATCATGTATTTCAGTATTCATGATGACATAAGCAATAGAAGTGAGCATTAAATGAGCATTTTGATGGACAACTCCAACTGCTTATAGAATGGACTTAAGCAAAATGTTTGTTTACATAAAGACTGAGCATTGACTGGATTCGCTGAAGGAATTCCAATGCCTCGGATTTCTTTTGTATCAGAGTGCGCTTTCATTTTAATAGTGACAATATCAGTCAACAAATAACTTGGTTTTCAGTCAGAATGCTTCCTGAGATGTGCCTATGGTGGGTTGGCATAGAAAAGGAAGGGCAAAACATGATGTTTGCTGTGGGAGGAGGGAAGTATAAGTTGACACTAAAATGGTATGGGGGTTAGATAAGGCCATGGGGATGACTGGACAAAGCAGCTATAATGGAGCTTGGGGGATAAGTGGGACAGGACATTAATGTGGCATGATGATTGAGAGGAGGAGAGTAGGTAGGATATTTCATGTTTTCATTATTGGTTGTATACTTTGAAGACAGTGCCAAAGTCCCGAGCTGGGTTTTTCACTCAGTCCACCTCAAAAACTGGAAGCTTCCCCCGATGTTGTTGAATTGCCTGAACTGACCCTTAATCTACCTCATTCCCCAAGACTGATTGTGGGAGTATAGAAGGCCTTTTCTTAAATAGGTCAAGTTTGGTGAGCTGGATTTCTCCGGCTTCTGCGCATCCAATCCTTAAATAAAAATTATATGATGTTCTTCCATGCAATTATAAAAATTAACTTTGATTTCTAAAATAACATTTCCAAATACATGTGGCCTCCATTTAGAATCATAAAGCCCAATGTGGTTGCTTATATTCCATTTGTTTATGAAATCATAAAGAACCAACTTGAAGGTGTTATATAACTACTGAAAAAGAAGTCTTTGATATTGAGAAGCAATAGGGAAATGGAACTTAAGTAGGTATTAGGAAAATAATATTTTGGTCTATGTGGCAACTTTCACAACTGGAGGACAAAACGCTTTGTAGTCTATTAAGCCCAATTTATTTTGAAGTGTAGTCACTGCTATAGTATAATAAACCACAGGTTTATCAGAGGCATCTTACCTTAACAAAATATCTATGGTAATAGACTGTGCTAAAGCTAGCATGCTAAATACTAGCAGTAACATCAGAGAAAGAAAAATCAATGTTGTCAGCACAACCTTTCATCCGAACAATTCTCATGAATTCCAACTGAAGAGTTAAAAAATTTTAAAAATCTTTTAACAAACCTGCTTTATAATTCCAAGGTTTTTTTGTTTTTCCTGCAGTTTACAGCATCTGTGAATTTTCTTTTATGCATGGAGGGAATCACAGAGCAATTGAAATGTTCTCGCTTAAAAGTATCTTTCCTTCTAAAATGTTGCACTTTTCAAAAGCTACTTCTGGTATAGAGTCATAGAGTCATTCAGCATGGCTACAAACCCTTTGGTCCAACCAGACCACATTCCCCAGCTAATCTAGTCCTACCTGCCTGCACTTGGCCCATATCTCTCAAACCTTTTATATTCATGAACTTTCTAAATGTCTTTTGAATGTTGTAATGTTGTAAAGTCAAATGGTATACAGGGTCTTAGGTATTTTTAATCAACCTGTTCAGACACGTTGTGACACATCTCTGGAGCAGATGGGACTTGAACTCAGGCCTTCCAGGCCAGAGGTAAGGACACTCCCACTGCACTACAAGAACCCTTAAATAGAATTATATGCAGTCTACGGATTGAAAACGGCATTTGGTGTAATTAATCCATGCCAGTGTTTACCCCTCAAATGAATCTACTATAATCTATCTTCAACTAACTCAATCAGCATATCCTTCCTTTCTCCAAAGAAAATGATCCTAATTTCTGCAATCTATCTTCATAACTGAAGTTCCCCATCTCTGGAACCATTTTCCTGATTTCTATATGTAGTCAAATCAAGATATGATACACATCTGAGATAATGGGTGAAATTTCCATTTTTAAAAGATTCAGGCATCTGGGTTGCTTGCATGTCCTGAATGTGCTCCTGTTGAAGGATGCTTCCTTGTGTGATCTGATGGGTGGGTATCAGCCAATTAATTAATGGACAATGACTAGAGAGGTCCAATGAGAGGACAGTCAAGAATTGCAGCCCCATTAGAGCGTTGGGAGCTGTTGATAATGAATGACAACCTGAGGACATCTCAAAAGGCTTTCAAGTGTTTATTAAAAATGAAGGCTCAGAATGGTTAGGACCATCAGTTTTGAAGGAAATCCTTTCACCAGAATATTTTTGGACACGACTGTACCCATTTGTGCTTTTTGGCTCTGTAATGGGAAAATGGATGGCAATCTGTTATAGTCACCTCTGACACCTTTGCCAGACTGTTAGCAAACCGTTAGCTCTTTGTGCATCCTGTAGGTTGCATTGCTCTACACAATTAAGAGCTGATTGACCTTTTACATACAGTTTTTGGTTTTGTTGGAAGCCTGTCTTTGGGAAAATCTTCTGGAGGCAGGAACACATAACGGAGGAGACCCAAAGCAATTTGAAGCAAAATTCCATGGCCACCACCTCCCAAGCAACCTAAGATGATTCCACCCAATGCCTCTGGTTTCAATTCTGTCTCTGTGGAAATGAACACTTAATTTGCTTTGTTCACAGCTTAATAAGCCATGTTGCTACTTTCCACATTTTGTCTTTCTGTACCCCTACCTCTCTTTGCTTTCCTACCCATTTGGATCCTTCCTATTGAGGAACTATTTTGCCTCCTTATTCAAAAACACAACAATATACCTACATCAAAACTGATCTCCTAATTACTCGCCTATCCTGCACATTTGATTTATTTTATATTTTGTCAGTTTTTCTCCTTATTAAATATACCACACCAATGTGATCTTATCCACAAAATTTCTGAATTCGAGTCATTTATTCACTCTAACTTTAATTAATTTAACAGTTATCTCCCCTTTTTCTGTCTTAGAAGTTGTTATCTTAATTTACAAGATAACATGGTCTTTAGACTCTACATCTGAAAAAAATAGTGATAAATAATAATTTACCTTTTGAGGACTGAGATTCATTTTTCCTAAAAAAAATCTTTGAGGAATTACAATCTCCTTCACCAGCTACTTTGAGTGTTCTTATGCAATTTAACTGATATACTATGTTCAACACAAAGAAATATCTGACAAAAACTGGTAAAATGAAACAACCATGGGTCTAATGTCAAAGGAACAAATTTAAGAAAATCCGTGCACAATTCACAACTTTCTCCAGATCTAAATATTCAGTTATATCCACAGACAAGGTTACATTTCTCAAAACTAACAATCCTAAACTGTGTCTCAGCATAATCATCAACAGTCCATGTACTCCATGTCTTTTCTCTCCACAGTAAGTACTGTAACTAAGGATTTACCAATAAATAACTTCCAATAAATTAAATAAAACTATCTTGTACTAGTTCATCTCTCATGTTTGTGTATGTGGAATGAAGGCTAAATGTTGTCTTCAGGTGATACAGCGTTTGAGCATAACTGAACCAGAATACTGTGGTCCACATTTTTAAATAATGCATTGTTATTTTTATATTTCCACTGTAAATTTCTTGAGTTACATTCACGATTAGTTACTTCCTGATGAAGCAGTTTCCATTAGAAACATTATCATAGTCTAACATGGACTCACGTTTCGTACACCAGGATGTCATTGCTATAATTCGTGTCACTTTTGCTTCATGCATAGCAAGAGTTATAGCTTTTATTGATTCTGTATATCCTGTAACTTCAGAAAATATGCTTATTGGGAATCCAAGACAGGACATGATGGCATCCTGTTCACTGAAGTGTTCACGAAGGTTGTCAGCTGAGAAGATATTTGCTTTCACCACCTTCAGGAAAGGAAATAAGTTTCAAGGAATTGTTAATTTCATGTCTAAATTGTCATCTATATTAGAAATAGAAATGCAATAAAATTATCAATTTAGAATAATGAACAAACGATCAAATGAACAAATGAAAAAGTACAGCACAGGAACAGGCCCTTCAGCCCTCCAAGCCTGTGCCGACCATCATGCTCTAATTAATCTAAAAACAAACCTGCCAACTTTCGATCCGTATCTCTCTATTCCCTCCCTATTCTTGTACCCATCTAGGTGCCTCTTAAATGTCTTCAATGTGCCTGCTTCCATCACCCCTTCTGGTAGTGCATTCCAGGCTGCTACCACTCTGTGCGTGAAAAACTTCCCTTGCACATCTCCCTTAAACTTTCCCCCTCTGAACTTGAACCTGTGCCCTCTTGTAATTGAAACTTCAACCCTGGGAAAAAACCTCTGACTATCCACCCTATCTATGTCTCTCATAATTTTGTAGACTTCTATCAGGTCTCCTCTCAGCCACCGTCTTTCCAGTGAAAACAATCCTAGTCTTTTTAACCTTTCCTTATAGGCAGTACCTGGAGACCAGGCAACATCCTGGTGAACCTTCTCTGTACTCTCTCCAAAGCTTCCACATCTTTCTGGTAGTGTGGTGACCAAAACTGCACACAATACTCCAAATGCGGCCTAACAAGGTTTTTATATAGCTGCAACATATTTTGCCAACTCTTGTACTCCACACTCCAGGCGATGAAGGCAAGCATGCCATATGCCTTCTTAATCACCTTGGCTACCTGTGTTGCCACTTTCAGGGAACTGTGGACCTGCATGCCCAGATCCATCTGCACGTTAGTGTTCCTAAAGGTTCTGCCATTTACAATATAATTCACACCTAAATTTGATCTTCCAAAATGCATCACCTCGCATTTGTCTGGATTAAACTCCATCTTCCATTTCTGTGCCCAAGTCGGCAATCTATTTATATCCTGTTGTATACTTTCACAGTCGTTGGCATTAATCAGCAACTCTACCAATCTTCGTGTCATCAGCAAACTTGCTTATCAGACTACCCACATTTTCCTCCAGATCATTTATATATACTACAAACAACAAAGGACATAAGACTGACCCCTGTGGAACACCACTAGTTACCGGTCTCCATTCTGAAAAACATCCTTCCACCACTGACCTCTGTCTTCTATGGCCAAGCCAGTTTTCCATCCATCTAGCCAGGCCACCCCAAATCCCTTGTGATTTTAGTTTTTGTACCAACCTGTCATATGGGACTTTATCAAATGCCTTACAAAAGTTCAAATAAACTACATCCACAGCCCTTCCCTCATCAATTATCCTCATTACCTCTGCAAAAAATTCAATCAGGTTGGTGAGACATGACCTTCCCTGGACAAAACCATGGGTTCCTCCACATCCGCATATATCTTTCCCACAGTATCTTCTCCAAGAGCTTCCCTGCCACAGACATCAAGCTCACCGGCCTATAGTTTCCTGGATTATCCCTGCATCCTTTCTTAAACAAGGGAACAACATTTGCTAATCTCCAGTCGTCTGGAACTTCACCTGTGATCAACGAGGATGTAAGATATCTGCCAATGCCCCAGCTATTTCCTCCCTTGCCTCTCTGCGTAGTTATTTGTCTCTTGGGAATCTTTTTAAATAAATGTTCTTCATTACAATACTCGACATAAATCTACGTTGCCAGTAATTACCTTCAAGTTGTCATGCTGAATGGTCAGCTTGCTGGGAGTTCTTACAATAGCTTTCACCCTATGGCCCTGATCTAGCGCTTGTCTCACTAATAACTGGCCTGTTCGTCCCATGGCCCCAAGCACCAAGAGCTTCATTCTTCAGCCTGAAAGCAACAGTCAAGAAATGACACCGCTATTTGCAGATGATTGTACATATAGCTTAATATGCAACTTTAAATTAAGTAATAATATTCTTGCAAATTTCCAGCACTCTAAACTCTCCAGTATGGGGAAGGCAAAGTGAAGAGTGAATGGTTGTGGTCCATATCAGTACCTGGCACCTGGCCAAATAAGCAGAGATTAGAGAAGTTTTGGTCAAAAGAGACAGTTCTAATGAGTATCCTAATGGGACAGAAAGAGGTAGAAAAGTAGAGAGGCAGAAAGGTTTAGGAGAGCATTGCAAAGTTTAGAGCCTAAGCAGCTGAAGGTGCAACCTCCTTTAGTACAGCAACTAAAACCAGGGATATTGAAATTACCAAAATTAGATGAATTCAGATACCTTGGAGGTTTGTGGTGTTGCAAAACTTTACAGAGATATGGAGGGGCAAGGCTGTGGGTGAAACAGAAAATAAGGTGGAAAATTTTAAAATTAAAGCTGAGAGCTAGTATAGGTAAGCACAGTGGTTCTCGGTGAATGGAACTCTGTGTGAATAAAGTTTTGGAGACGCTCAAGTTTTCAGAGGGTAGAATGTTGGAGGCTGGTTGGAATAGAATTTGTAAATATTCCCCAGTTTCATTAGACATTACATTACTTTCCCCATTTACAATGGCAACATTCAATTCTGCCTAGCCATCATTTCTCTTGACCTCTCTACTAAATTGTCAGGCAGCTTGTTCAATGCCCCAAATCATATTGGTAAATTTTGGTCCTTTATTTATTATTGAATAGTAGCAAAGAACAAACATTAGTTAAGAGAGTACATTTTCCCTTTTTGAACAACTGGAATTTTAAAACATTCTTTACAATTGATACATTTTGTGGAAGGGAAATAACATATTGTTTTAGTCATATATCCCAAAAACAATTATTTAATTAAATGCAATCATTTATTACATGTTCTCATCCTCTCACTACTTTTAATAAAGTACTATAACCATGTCATTGCTCCCCATTTGAAATTTTCAGAGGTCAGCTTTCATGATCGTTTTTGTCACAGGAAAATCAATTTTGTTTTGAAACATCTTTCTAACACACTTCCTTGAAAATCTTTTTTTCCCCAGGAATGAAGTTTTCATTAGCAACTGCAAAAAAAAGCTAACACTACATGGGAGTTAGCATGACATGTAATTTTGTTATTGCCAGTATAGAATGTATGCATTGTAAGCCTTGTGCTATACTTAATTAACAATTTGCACACTCGTATATGTTCAACCCACACGTTGAATAATTTTCTTCAGTGGATCATAAATCATGACAAGGGTTTGATTTTCCTTAGTCGTCAAGAGATTTGGTTCTCAATGTACTCTTCTATTTAACCCTTTAAAGCCCCAAGCCTACTGATTAGTAATGCCAAGCTTTGTTATGCATTATTCCAATATTTAAGTCAGAATAGTGATGACTACCAGTGAACCCCAACTCCCCCATCTTCTGCAGTACCCCATGCCTAGCCACACTTTATCATCTTCCCACCATTATATGTTGAATTGCACTCTCGTCAAAATTATTGTCTCCTTTGCAATCCAGCATGCTGTCCCAGGTCCTCACACCGACTTCTCCAGCTTCCTTACCATAGTAGTGGTCCCTAATAATCCACTTCAACTTCCAATGAACTGGCCCTAACACTGAATGTAGCCCACACCTCTGATTTGTAATAACAGCCGACTGATGACTGACCAGACTCCTGACTAATAGCTGCAAAGCTCTGTGACTGACATGCTGCTTGCTACCACCAGACTTGCTGCACTGGAACATGTCCAAGCCCAGGGACTAATATTGCACATTGTCCTTGAATTACTGTACTGATTTACCCTTTGACTGACAACATGGACTTGATGGGTTGAATGGCCTAATTCTATGACTATATAAAGCAAATTGAGTCTGTGACTCTCACCAATGTTACTGTGAAAGTTTTTCCTTACTGTAAAATTGGAGAGAAGCTAGATGGTGACAATCCCTGACATGAAACTACTTTATTTAGACTTAGAGACATGGTCATTTGGTTCAAGCACATTCAGTGTTTGCCACATAAGCTTCTGGAATATACTGCAATTATGATATGGACATAGCATGATGCAACACAATTACATATCCACCTTGAGTGATCATTGCTGGCAAACTTGACAAGATGCCTGATCATGTCTGTACTAAAAGGCAGATACATGTCAACTTTTACATTCTGAATGAAGTACCAATGTGCTAAAAGGCAAGGCAAGGCAGAAATGCTGTGACCATCCAAATAGGTGCAAAGTAAGTTAGTGCTAAGGAAGCTATAAGCTCTGAGATGTACCCTGTTCTGATTCATGAGGTGAGTTCCTTCCCTGCAAAGTGACCTGGCAGCAGCATTAAAATGAAAGGTACAAATGTAAAGTGCAGTAGAAGTGTTGAATTGTGAGTGAGTTGGAAATGTGCCATGATAATGTGGTGAGGCTGGTGCTTGTCCAATGCCAATCTCTGTGGATGGAAGGTGCAGGCAGTCGCTGCCCATGGAGTGGACCTGAACATATTTGGTAATGCACGCAAAGTCGGATGCCCAAGGATGCTATCGTGTATCCACTTAGACTTTCATATCAGAGATTGTCACTATCTAGTCCTAGAATTAGGCCATTCAACCCATGTTGGCCCTCCTAAGAGTATCTCACCCAGATAACCACACCCCCTGCCCGATCCCTGTAATCCTGTAGTTCCAATGGATAATCTTCCTAGCCTGCACATCCCTAGGTACAACAGGGTAATTTAGCACAGCCAATCCACCTAACTTGCACATCTTTTGGACTGTGGGCGGAAACCGGAGCACCCAGAGCGGACCCGCACAGGCATGGGGAGAATGTGCGAACTCCACATAATCACCCAAGGATGGAAGCGAACCCAGGTCCCTGGCATTATAAGGCAGCAATGTCAACCTCTGAGCTACCATACTGCCCTTGATCATTTTTGAGTAGCATGTTAAAACCAGCTCAAAACATTTGAATGGCTAACAATAAGAACAAAAAAATTCAAAAGACTGTCCCTTCAGTAAGTGGTCTTTAGCTGTTCTGGGACTTCAAGCTGAGTTATACATTTAACTTATACTTAGTAAATCAGAGCTCTCCACTGCAAGAACATCTGGTCCTCATTTTTCAAGGACCGCAATTTCCCCCCCTCAGTGGTCGAGAACGCCCTCAACCGTGTCTCCCACATTTCCCGC